TTTCTATCATCGGAAGAAATACAAACAAGAAAAAATAATAATGAAATTACGGAATCAAAATCCTTATAAAATTTAGGGGAAATAGTAAAAGCGAACTAACCTTAGGTTTCCCGAACCAAGTCATGGCCTTGAAAGTCGTCAACCTCCTAATCAGATCCCCGCGATCCCATGGGCGGCAAGGAGCCGACTTCTCCACCGGTCCTCGCAGTGCGAGAGACCGCGCAACCAGACGTTCGCTTGCAATCACATCACCACCTCTCGGCCTACTTTCAAAGCAAGGAAAGACGGAGGAAACAAAAAAATTGAGCATGAAAAGTATCAAGATAATCAAACCCCAGTGAAAGATTCAATAGAACAAACCGACCTAAGTGGAGAGAGCCTCGATCTGGGTGCGTAATAGAGCTTGTCCATGATCTTCTGAAACCTATTCTCGGAGTCCTGCGCCATTACATTATGAGTGGACACAAGAAGAGAATAGTGGTTATTGTCTCAAAACTGAAAACGAAATCAAAGATTCACAGCTGTGGTTTCACAAGCTCAAAAACACCTTCGTCGCCATAGAAGCCTGCTTGCTTCCCGAAGAGGGATTTTGGGGCAATAAACACTCAAAACCCCTCTAATTGCATATCAACCTGCAATTTTTTATGGGTAAATTACATACGCAGCCTTGGAGCTGTCAAATGATTCGTTGTTGGCAAACTATTCTTATTTAATTCGTTAAGAAGTTCTTGTTTTGATTTCTTAAGAAGTTTCTGTTCGATTTATTCGTTGTTGGCAAACTATTCTTATTTAATTCGTTAAGAAGTTATTGTTTTGATTTCTTAAGAAGTTTCTGTTGGATTTATTCGTTAAATTTATCATGAGCTCAAAATAATTAAGTTATATATATATATATTTTGAAAAAAAATGATCAGAGCGCCTCTGACCACTTTTAATGTATTTAATAATCAGAGAACCACGTCTTATCCACATGGAATTCAAACTCCCGGCCTCAGGAGACTAACAACTGACATTGAGAATGCAATAGACGGGTATTTGAGTACATCTCCTTAAGGCCAATTATGTGAGAAGGGATTTGAACCATAGAGCTGAGAGGTCTTATACTGTGGATGCCATTTAAGTGACTACAATGCTACAAAGATTTATAATCAATTAAAATTATTAGAAAAAAATAGAATAAAAATATATTAAATTATATTTAAATAATTTTTAATATAAATAATAAGATTTAAATATCACCCCTACCTTTAATATCCTACGGTTGCGTGTTTATGAGTCAAAACGACTATTTATTCACAAACATCTCATGTTCAGCTCATTAAGCAAACAAGTCAAACACGAACACATTTTTTTTTATTCAAAATATAAACAAGTTGAATACGAACAATGGTATATTTCAACGAGTCAAACTCGTGTTCGACTCGTTTACACCCTTCACAACACACAATTCTCATACATTTATATATTTCACACCTCAAAATTAAACTCTCACTTTTACACATACAATACTCTACATATAGTTGAAAAGATGAATTTAAAATTTTCACCCGTAAAAGAAAGAATGCATAACATAAAATAGGAAGATTTTGACTCAACTCTTATGCATGATTTTGACTTAATTCTTATGCATTACATGTGTAATGTATAAATTTTAAAGATGAGTCGAGTCGAGTCAAGCTAAGTCATTGCTTACTCAAGCTCAGTTCGTACAGCTAAACATGGGCTTGTGAACAATAAATCTGGCTCAAACTTCACTTTAGCTTGATTGCAAGCCAGCTTGAATCATTTTGAAAGCTCAAATAAAACAGATTTTAGTTAATTTTATTTTTATATAAACTTGATTAACTCTATAATTAAGCATTCATTTGACACCAAATATTAATGAAAATTTTTTTTACCTAATAATTGATTGATAATACCGAAAAATAAATTTAAATTTTATCAACTTTTTCAACTAACGTAAAAATATAATGCGAAATACAACCACTATATTCATAATAAAAAATTAGGAACGGTATAATTAGCCTGAAACACTAAAGCGGCCTACGTCTGCGTAAACAAATACCTGATGCAATATTTTGTTTATCATATTAAATGGATCACAACAATGAATGTCTTGTATTCTAAAATAGGGTGATAGGATGAGAGTAGGAAATTCAGACAAAATTGGGAGGTTAGAAAGAATAGTGGTGGGGTTAGGAAAATTTTCTATCCCTATTCCCGACGTAGCTTTACTTGCAGACTTTCAATAGTAAACTTTCAATAATATATTGTCATGTGTGTTATATCAAGCCTACCTAAAAAAAATATTAGAATGAAACCGCAAACTCCGCAATAACCTCGAAATAACCTCCGCAGTTCTACTTCAATAACCCCGAAAACAACACTGCGGAGATTATTTCGGAGCTATTTCTGGATTATTTCAAAATTATTGAAGATAAACTCATATATTTCACTTAAATAACCCCAAAATAGCAAGTGAAACCACGAATGTTATTTTAGGGGTTATTTCAAGGTTATTGAAATGGAATTTATGAGTTTCTCTTCAATAATATGTTATTTTGGAGTTATTTATAGGTTATTTTGGGGTTATTGAAATAGAATATGTAAATTTCTCTTCAATAATCCTAAAACAATCTCTAAGATTTCAATTCAATAACCCTGAAATAATATCTACAATATAACACGTGTGGCAATATATTATTCAAGCCCGCACATAGAACTAGGTCCTGAGCCGGGACAAAATTTTTCCAGGAGGGAGAAAGAAGAATTACTACTATTGGCCCTCTAAATAGTTGTAACAATAGATGAAAGAAATTAGAAAACACCAACAAATTATTGACAAAGTGCAAATAATTTGTTTACAAATGGTTCATTCCGCTAACTGCTAAAAGTCTTGATGTCAAGGACTAGAATAACCGTAATAAAATAATAAAACCTAAAATGCCCATGACAAAAAAAAATTTCAAAATGTCCCCATAATCACTCTGTTTCCCTCTCGCCCACATCATTCTCTATCCACCCATTCATGCTGTCCCTTTCCATCCCCCTCTTATTCTCTAATTATTCAGCCAAAAAACCATTAAACCTCAGAAAATAGTTTTAAAAAAAGTACAATTTTACCAAATTCCCATCAAATATAATAAGCAAAACAACCATTAATTAATAATTTTTACACGAAGAGTAGTGCGTAACCAGAACTCACCGAGTCAACTAGTTCACTCCGACTTTTGTTTGCGAAACTTGAAGAGGTAGGAGAATATACATGCTAGCCACAGCCAGAAACGCACAGGCCAACTACGCTTCGGCTTTGGTTGTGGTCTTGGCCCAAAAATCCCCTTGTAAAGTTCCTTCTGTTTCTGATACACTGCTTTTTCATGTTCTGCAATAATTTTAAGTTCCTTTATAATAGCCTTGTCTTGGGGAGCATATTTCTTTGCCTTTTCGAAGTCCTCTCGAGCAGCATCTGTCTGTCCGAGTTCTGCTCGAGCTTTTCCTCTCCGAAATAATGCTTTCACATTATTCTCATCTTCCGTCAGCACCTGAAAATGCAATTGGTTTTCAAGGAATAGTAGTCAAAACGTTTTTATCACACAAAATATGAATTTTAGTAAGCATAAATGGCATATTTCTTATGCCTTTATTTATCTCACACCTAGACTTTAATATTTACACACACGGCACCAAAAATCTTTAATATCACATCAAAAGTAGAACCATTACTATATTCATAGGTGAAACTTCAGGTGTGAGATATGTAAATACATAAAAATTCTGTGCTAGGTATGTAATTTTCTCTTAATAATAAAACAGCAAGTATTTATCTGGAAAAGTAGTAATAATAATCAGAAGTCGACAATTCAATGTAGCACAGGGAATTTACAAAACAAACATTACATCAACTCTATCAGAAACCAAGAAAAAATAAACAAAGGTTTTAGAGAGACAATGGTTGAACGCAATAATTATGACACCATTTAGGTTTTTTTACCTCGAGCACTGGTTTCTGTAGAAGGATACTTGGGGAGCAAAACTTTTCCAACTCAAAAAAAGAATTACAAAATATCACCCTTTTTTAGTTATCAAATAGCAGATGTTCTGCCTAGCCTGTTGGAATCAACCACATTCTAAGAATAAGCAACAAAATTATTACAAAAAAAAAGTACAGCAAGTTCATCAGTTGGACTTCACGAATCAGCGGAAACCTTCTCTTTATCAACCACATAAAACATAATAGTAGTTATAGATATATGTATAATAAAGGTGTATAGAAAAAAATAAAGATACATTTATATACTGGGATAAGGTGATGAAATTGCAGCAAATAAAATATTCAGTTCATGTTGCCAAAGGAGGCAAATTAAATGAAATTGTTTAGTTGAGTCAACCCTAATGTAACTTGTGAGATAAGATTGCAAATTTCATTAAGAGGATTATAACAAAAAGTTTAGGAGAGTGAAAATAATATGCACGGATAAAAAAATTTGGTGGTGAAATGATGAGGCATTAAAATCATTAAAGAGAAAAATGCTTTTAAAAAGTGGCAAAACTTGAATGCTATTAAAATTTACCCTTATAAGAAAACTATAAGTCTTGCAAAAAGGATATTGAGTTAAAAAAAAAAGGGATATCGAGTAGAAGAGATAAAATGAGATACATAGAATAGCTATGAAATGAAATAAGTATTAAATTTGATGGAGTAAGATGCATTAAAAATGAAGAAAAATAAAAGCTTGGTTAGAAATAAAGACATAAATTTAAGATAGAAATATACCTTCAGAACTTAACAAAATGAGAACAAGTGAGAAATTATTTTTAAAGAGCGTCATGAAATAATATAAGCTTGCTCCATGTTAACTTTGAAAAAGATACATAGACTTCGGATCTAAATAGAAATCTGGGTAAGTATATGTTGGGATGGAATCTAATATACTTATAGGGCTCCAATCAAGTAGAAATCCAAACCACACAGCGGTTAAATACAACTTTAAGAAACAGTTTTAGGACCAACCGCTCAGAGGTGAGATCATGTTGTGAGACGTCATGTTGTGAGAAGTCATAATTATTTCACCCGCACAGGAAGAATCACTATACTAAGCGATCCTTTGAGGCGTGGCTATGCCCGTTGTGTGTAGTTGCACCTCGGGCATAGCTACGCCAAGTCCATGCTAAGAGCATATTTTGTTGTGGGTGCATTCAGACTCCACAATACAACAATCTTCCACTTGGAAAATGAGATGACCCAACACATGTCCTCCCAATCTGCATTTCCATTTATACCGTCTTCATAGTCACCTATCATGGTGAGGCTCACCCCCAGCCTCAACCATCATGGACTTCAACAGAAGTCAAGCATAGCTTCTGTTTCTCAATAATCATCATCTTCATCAACATGTCCGCAATATTTTTAGTTGTGTAAATTTTCCACAAGAATATCTGCCCATCTTCTAGGAGAGAGTGTATAAAGTGAAACATCAGCTAAATATGTTTTGTTCTTGCATGAAAAATAACATTCTAAGTAAGATTAACTAAACTCATATAGTCACTATGAAACTTTTCAATCCCCTACACATTTTTCAATTGTGTCATAAAGCACTGTAGTCAAATCATATCCTTGCTAGCCTTAGTGATAGCAATGTATTTGAAATCTGTAATATTAAAAGAAACAAGCTTCGACAATCATATCAACGAATTAGGCTCATTCATTTTGAAAATTTAGCAAATTAAAATGAAATTATTTGAATCTGCAAATTTCAATTTCAAATAGCCTGAGAATGTCACGTGGACTAACATGAAATCAAGTTTAAAAACCATCATGTGCTCCATCAAAATGACTAGTGTTTAAATTTCAATGATTTAAGAATGTTGTGCGGGTGCAAATGAAATTTTCACTCCAGTTACTCTCATTTTCTAAAAGTATACAAATTTATTTGTTAAAAAATCTACGCTTATCATAAAATAAAATCTCTATCTTGAAATCAAACTCAAAATAGTTAAAGTATGCATGCTCTCGATCGAGCTGCAATGTCTTTAGGGCACGGGCACGATTGTAAGCCTCACTCAGTTAGTCTGATCATGCATCTCTTAAGAACTAGAGTTGATAAATCTAAAAAAAAAAATTCAATAATATTCAAATCACAAATAATAGAATTTACAACATCCATTAAACTAGTCCAGTCAGATTCCATGTAAAAACTGGAGTTGATGAGTCTAATATTTTAATAAAATCTAAATAAGTATAAAATTTGCAAATTCATATCACACAATCTAATCCTACTCTTAAGAACTGAAGTTGACAAGTCTAATAATATCAATTAGAGCAAAATAGTAAGTATAATATTAGAAAGCCAAAATCACAGTCTCCTTCTACTAGTAAGAACTAGAGCTAACAAGACTAATATTTTGAATATATTAAAGTGACAAATTTTCAAATAAAAATGAAGTAAACAACTATTTCAACAAGATAATCAAGTTTTGATTTAAAACCGAGTTGTGTCAAAGAAACAGCTAATAGTACTGTCACTTTGAAGCAATAGAATTTGCATAAACATTAATAACCTTTTTGTTAGTTCAGGTGCTATTTAGCACTAGTCAAACCTTGTCCAGCATAGTTACCTCATATAACCTTTCTAGACCTTCAAAGTTATGTACTTCTTCAAGAGATGTGAGAGTGTAAGAAACTACAAACTACAAGCAAGATCATTTACTTAAAACTATGTGAATCAACTTTAGGTTGCACTTTGCAAATCATACTAACAATCAAAAATATAAAACTGCTACAAGATGAGAATGTTCTAAATGTTTCCATACCCCAGCAGAAAAACTGACCGAGGAATGAACCAGAATAACATTGAGCCCACGGAAAAAAAAAAAATAATAACAAAATTCTCTCTCTCTCTCTCTCTCTCTCTCTCCA